TATATATATATTATATATATATTTAAATATCATCATTTGACTACTTCAGCTTTATTGTAAAAACATAAATAAATTTCCGGTGTTATTACAACTAGGTAAAACTGAAACGGTACTACTAAGTTAATAATTGTTCAATTATTTCAATTCCTTTTGCCTTACTCTCTGTGCAACCACCAACAAACAACTCAATTCCATTCTTGGTGAAAATTGTATCACATATAGCACCGATTGTATGATTTGTTTTATACTTTGTATTATAAATATCACACAATGAGTGCAAATATTGTTGAAGTATTTCTTCAATTTCCTCGGCTTCTTTGTTAGGTGTTTCCTCCCACATAATTTCTTGAGTGCCGTCCAGAGTGTTGCTGTTAGTTGGTTCCGACATTTTTATTTGGAGAGCACCAAGCCTTAACTTAATTGCCTCCTTACAAACAAGAATTGGAACGAAACCTCCTTGAGCACAAAACATCAGGAGTTAAACTCTCACCCTATCACTCTCTACTTCTCACCTCTACGTAACAAGCACGAGACTGCCAAATCCTCATGTCCAAAGAGTTTGATTTGTTGAATTGTCGAGGTCTTAGAGTGTAAAAAAAATCCTTCGAAAACTACAATAATTTGCTGTAGGGAAATTAAAAGTTGTTTGAGTATCCTGCTTTAAGCAATTTGGAAAAACATGCCAGGTTTTGAGATAATGGTGGGCTTAGAATTTAACGAAAATCGTTTGCCTGTTGTTTGCCTTCTTGATGTGTTTTGAAGCTATGGGAGTACACTACAATTTCCTTTTTATCTCAAATCGCGGCAAGTTTTGTGTTTTTATGTGCTTTATTTTAAAACATCACAAGAAATCAAACAACAATCTTTATTATAATTGCCAAATCCTTACAATTTTCATCTCACGATATGGCATACATTGAAATTGTTAGTTAATCATGATTTTAATCTATCAACATGGATGAGATGGAAAAATGATTGGTGTTGAGGTGAAAAAAGTTATGTCATAAAACTACAATAACGTATTGAAACACAATAAGAAAAAACATCATCATAACCTTCAGTTTCAATGACGAAAGTTGCACCATCAGGAAGTGAGTATGAGGAACAGACAACTCCATCCGTTGTGGCTATCAAAGAACCACTCAATCCAAAGACACAGCCGCGTACTTGCTGCACAGGTATTATTCGAGTGAATACTAAGAAACGGGATAGCGGGAAAGCCAGTCTAACGGAATCCGTTTCAAATAAGAAACGGTAGGACGGTCCAGTTTGGAGTAAGAAACGGAACAGGAAAGTAAGGTAGCTCTCTAACTAAGGAACACTGTAAAAACGCTTAAAAGGTGAAATGACTGAATTTAGAATTACAAAGAAAGTGTGTAACAATTCAAAAATGGATATATTTCATTATTCAACTCTAGTCTATTGCAATAAAGAGATTTTCCAATTATAAAACAAATAGAACAAAAAATTCAATAAGTCAATTTTATTATTGCAACCTGCCAGGAAGAGAGAATCTATTCGGACGTAGATTTCTTGGAAGAGAAGTTCCTGTTGAGGATGATTGTTTAGCTATTTCTCTAAGCTGTCTGGAGAAAGATGGAGAAGTAGCTGAATTTGAACTTGTTGTAGGAGTGGCAGCTTTTGGAGATCTCTTTCTCTTCTTCTTGGCCTTTGGTGTAGAAGGAGAACTGGTACTCTTGGATGAGGAATGATTTGGAGAAACAGGCATTAAGAAATCTTCATCTTTTTCATCATCAACAAGGATTTCACCAAGCTCAGTAACAGTTGTCTTATCCCAAGCGCTGACAAATGATTTCAAAACATCAACTGATGTAAATCCAGCTTCTAAACCATTTGTCAAACTATCAGGTGGTCTAGAATCATACTTGGCTGTTTGAGCAGCATTCTTAAGCTCCTTTCTTCTGTCATTTCTTTTCTCTCTATCCTCTTTAGTTGTGGATATGTTGGAAATCTTGAATCCTTGATTCAAACCAACAAATTTGGAAACTGCTAGTATATCATGTTTCAACAGCATAGCACATTCAACAAGTGCATTAGCGAAATAGCATGGAACGTCTACAGCATGGAGAATCTCTTGATTATTTGTGTTATCTGGAACAATTTCAGGATTCTGACGGTGACTAGCTGAATGCAATAAATTCAAAACTTCAGGAATGATCCACCAATTTCTCCAGGAACCGAGAGAAGAAGCGATACAAACAATTGAATCTAATATTGACACAATCTCCTTCTTGGTTTTGACAAATTGAATAGTTTTAGCCAATTCAAGAATCAGCTTTTGGTGTTCTTCAGAGATAGAGAGTGTTTTTATAGCTCTTTTGACACTTCTCAAAAAATGAACAAAGCAACCAGAAGCTAGCTTTGTAATAAGCATTTCTCCATCGACAACATATTCTGCAACGGCTTTTTTCAATCCAGCTAATTGAGATTGAGAGAAATCAATCAATATACCCTTTAGTTGATTTTTAAATAAATCAGTCAAATCTACACCATCATCAGCTAAAGTAATAAGCCAAAGTTTGAAGGATTGATAATAGTTGAAGTTATCCATTAGTATTCTAGATAAATGCATTGGCAAACCTCCTTTAGGAGTATCAATATAGCTTGAAATTCCAAGACAGTTAGTGAATGGACCTGATTTGGAAGCGTGTTTCAAGTCAATCACAAGAAAATCACAAGAGTTAGTGATTAAAGATTGAATTGGAAACTGAATAACAGCAAAAGTATCAACACCATTGAAATAAAACTGTCTCATATATGTTGTCATTAAATCTGAGACATGAATAGTGAAACTTTCTTTCTCAAAATACTCTTTCAATAAAATTGGTATTTCTTGTTCTACTTTAAACAATGTAGACATTGGATTAGGATTATCCATTGAAACTTTGAGAAGGGCTTTTCTTTTGAAATTTTGATACTTGGAAATGTTCAATAAAGCAGGATTTCTAAGGTAAGGCAAATCATGAGTTCCAACACCAAGCAGAGCTTGTTTTGGTGTAAGAGTTGGATTTTGTTGAAATGACAACACAATAGCTTGTTCTTCATCCTTGTCAACCTTATTCGGTGGTGGGACATCGTGTGAATGAATTCCATCGCCAGTAAAGAAGAATAATGCTTCATTCCTTTTCTTTAATTGATAGAACTTTACCTCACACCCAATTTTTTCTAGTTGTTCACCATGAGTCTTACATAGCTTTTTCTTGCAACTGACTGGATATACATTTGGACATTTAGAACAAGTTTTAACGCCATTACATCTCAAAATGAGAACCTCGAATTGCTCTTTATTCACTTCAACCCAATATTTTGGGTCTTGTCGAAATGAATATTGAGCTTTGTCAGAAAAAGAAGTTTCACTCTGATACACTACACCAGTTGTAGTAACAAAACCACCACAATACCCAGAAACTGGTGTAGTGTATCAGAGTGAAACTTCTTATTGTTTGCTTTGATGACAGATTTGTAATCGAAAACCATTTTTTTTAAAGCAATCGAATAAAATCTTTAGCAATAAGTTTACTAGAGAGAAAATTTAAGAAATGTTATTCTCTCAACGTATGACTTCCTAAGGCAGACTGAGCGAAGTGAATGGTTACTAAGGTAAAATATTGTTTCTTTTTTTTGCTTTCATGATAAGTAAAAAAAGAAATTCGTATATAATTTATTGTCTCCTTCTTTTTTCAAAAGTTACTATTCTCTCACTCCTTATTTGAATACCAGTGAGATGTATTAAGCGGAGAGAATCTCCCGTTTAGAATAAGGAACGGCCTGAATCCCGTTCATCCCGTTGCCCGTCTCACCGTTTATTTGTATCAACTCGTATTATTCCACTCAATCTCTTTATTGTTTCAATTATTTCAGTAATGATTCTAAGTGGGTGTTTATTGGTTTGGCTATCTTCTTATCTGGTAACAGAGAAGGCAATTAATGATTTGTCTACCAAGCTCATAAACGAATCTGGAAGAAAGATTATAACCTATCTCGATGGTGTTATGACACCAATCGCCAAATTGACCAAAACCATGGCCAGAGAATATACCACAGGTGTTGTGACCATTCCCATGTTTAGAAATTACTTGTTTCCAAAGTTTGTAGAATTTCGAACTACTGGTTGTGGATTCTTCTTCAGCGTTCCTCTCCCATCCAGATATACCTATACTATTAGTGGAACCACGAGTAATCCATTTCCAGTTTTTGCCTATCAACCATATGGATATCCAGGCACCATTAGAGATATTGTGAATATCACCACAGGAGACATTGTAAAAGTCAATTCTACAGTTGACTTGACTCCTTACGTACCTGCCAAACAAGATTTCTTCATTTATACATTGAAAAACTATTACGAAAAGGGGTTGGAAGGAGTGTATGGAGAACCATACAAGGTTTTGGGAAGTACAGTTGCCATTTATTATTCTCAATTAATGTACGATCCAGAAATTTACAAACTAAACAAGACGAAATCATTGGTTGGATTGGCCAAAGTTAATCTTTCACTAGAAACGATTGTAAACTTTCTCTCCAAGATTGAATTACTGGGAAGAGGTTACGTTCTGGTAGCTCAGGACAATTTCATTGTCATTGGTGGATCCATCGATACCATTTCAGGAGATGGTTTAAATAGCACAAACATCTTTGATGTCAAGTCGAGAAATGCTGGTTCACTAATGAAACAATTCTACGAGTTGAACAATAGAACATTTAGTATTTTGCCATCTGTGATGAAAATTGTGGGAGAATCTGATGGTGTTAGCTATATCATTACTCCGTACAAGTATGTTTTGGAAAATATGCAGTGGAACATTTTCTTTGTTTTGTACGAATCAGAGGTGACTGAAGCTTTGATTTTGACAACTTCAATTTCTATTGGTGTCACTGTTGGAATTATTGTTCTTGGAATTGTTGGAAGTTTTGTTACTGGACTAGTTGTTTCGAGACCTATGAAGTTCTTGGAGAAGCAATTCGAAAGAATCAAAGTTCTTGATTTGGGTAGTGTTTCGAATAACAGTTCCATGTTTAGAGAAGTGAACTCAATTTTCAATAATTTGAAGAATACAGTTGAGTGGCTTGCTGAAATTAAAACTTTCATTCCTCAATCAGTATTGAACAGATCAA